TCGTAAAGTCCTTTTTTGTGCCCCCTTCCCCATTCGGCAATAAATGTAAATATTTGAAGAAATTATCCAAATATCACTGTTACAAATGTTGGAAAAATTGAAGCTAAAATGGTAATAAAATGAGTGGCCCTGTCTATCTTCCTTTCCGGCACCTCATCCCTTTCCCGCCCCTGTCCGCCTGCTGTGTGGTTGTGTCCTTTCCTGTTCTCTGGTGTTTAGTATACAGGTTCGTAAAGTCCCTTTGTGTCCCCTCCTCCTACATAAACTGCTTGAAATGTAAAATATCCAATGTTTCACCCTTTCACAACATTTGATGCTGACCGAAAGGCAATATAAATAAAATGAGTGGCCCTGTCTATCTTGTCCGTCTACTCCCTCTCACCCGTTCCCCGCCCTGTCCGCCTGCTATGTTTTCGTGCCCCCCTTTGCCTCTTTGTTTATATGTTCGCAGTCACGCATACACATGCAACATAAATACAAACACGAAGCAACGCTCTGTAAATATTACTGCACAAAGATACGCACACCGCAGACGCTTGTAAATATAACACGTACAATACAGTTGACACGCATTTATTGTATACAGACGTTTTACAGACAAATAAACTTATTGAACTTGACAAAAAAAAAAAAAAAAAAAAAAAACTGTCCCTTATACTCCCAAAATGTCTAAGAGAGGACGTGGTGGTTCAGCCGGAGGAAAATTCCGCATCTCCCTGGGTCTGCCAGTGGGAGCAGTCATCAACTGTGCTGACAACACAGGTGCCAAGAACCTGTTTGTTATTGCCGTCCACGGGATCAAGGGTCGCCTCAACAGGCTGCCAGCTGCTGGTATTGAAGACATGTTCGTTGCCACGGTGAAGAAAGGAAAGCCAGAGTTAAGAAAAAAAGTTATGCCAGCTGTGGTTATACGTCAGAGAAAACCCCTTAGAAGAAAGGATGGATTGTTTCTCTATTTTGAAGATAATGCGGGTGTCATTGGGAATCCTAAAGGCGAGATAAGAGGTTCAGCAATTACAGGCCCAGTTGCCAAAGAGTGTGCAGATTTGTGGCCTCGAATTGCTTCTAATGCTAGTTCTATTGCATAAAGTTTTATGAAGAGATTTAAAAAAAAAAAATATACTCAAACCCAGCCATGTTTAGAAATTCTCTTTTCAAGTATGTATTTGTAATACGACGTTTTATTATGTCTTTCGTAATATCCTAGCTCCCAGATGACGTCACAGGACAGTCCAACATTTTAGAGGGTAGTAAGACTGGGTTTTCCCATGCTTTTATCGACCTCAAAACATATAGAACTGGCCCTAACGCCGACAAACCTACGTCCCGCGATAAAGTGCAGCCTAGGTCACACGACTGCATGCAGTCTAGGTCCCACGACTGCTTGCAGCTTATCTATCACCCCCTAAAATACTAGACTGTCCTGTGACCTGGGGATTTCCCCTGTTTGGGGTAGGATATTAAGAAAGCACCTATTATTATATTTTTCTCTATTCAGTGCATTATTATTGTTATTGTTGTTATTATTATTATTATTATTTTATGACAAATGTTTTTTTTTTTTTAATTTTGTATTCACCGCAAGCACAGGAAATCCGGGAGTTCCCCGGGAAGTCCAGTATTATAGGGGTGTTATGGTTAGGGTTAGTCAGTGTAACTTTCAAACTGCAACACTCCTATAATAATTGTACTGAACTGTTGTGAAGCTATAGTGAGCTTTGATCAGTTGCAGTGAGCTTTAGTTAGTTACAGTGAACTGTTTGTCAGTTGCAGAGAGCGTCTGGTAAATTGCACTGAATTGTTGTTATATTGTAGTGAATAGCTGGTCATTTGCAGTGAGCTTTGGTCATTTATTGTGAACTGTTTGTCAGTTGCAGTGAGCGTTTGGTAAATTCCACTGAACTGTTGTCCAGCTGCAGTAAGCGTTTGGTAAATTGCACTGAACTGTTGTCCAGCTGCAGTAAGCGTTTGGTTAACTGCACTGAACTGTTGTTTAGTTGCAGAGGGCTTTTCTTTAGTTGTAGTGACCTGGTTTTCAATTGCTGTTGGCTGTTGGTCTGTTGTAGCGAACTGTTCCTCAGTCACACTAAACTGTAGCTCAGTCACGATGAACTGTCATTTGCATTGAACTTTTGCTTATTTACAGTGAGTGAACTGTTACTTGAGTTGTAGAGTGCTGTCAATTACAGTGAAGTGTTGGTCAGTGCAATGAACTGTTGATCAGTTAGTCAGGTATGTGAGTTTGTATATCCTGTTTAGACAGGAACTTTTCTAGTTTGACCTTTCTTAGCCGTTAATTGCCTCTCGTCTTACTACAATGCAGCAGGCTATTACAAAGCACGAGCCTCGAAGCTTCATAAATCCCAAAAAGAATTGTACTGGTGAACCAAACGAGGCAGTTCATCAGCGTCTATCAATATTTTGCGGCAACATTAGAATTTCGCAGTGTGCTGTTACAGAAGGAAACACTTAGGATCGTTCGCGATGGGAACTCACGTGCTGGCACGGAAAGTAAGGTGAAGATAGATGTGAATCCTACAGTGTCCTTCACTTGGAGACCAGACACATGGTGGATGGGACATCTTAAGATGTAGGATAGGGCTATTCAACTAAGTTGGCTTAGGGGCCAAAATGTTCAAAAACGGGGATCGTCCAGGGCCAGAGGCTTCAGCTCCAGCATAGAAAGATCGAAAATACAATACAGCTAGAATTTATCCGCGGGCCACTTGCTAGGCCTTGTCGGGCCAGATTTGGCCCGCCAGTTAAATATCCCTGCTTTAAACGAAACTTTGCGTGTCTCCGAACTAGACAGGAGGCCTGCCAACACAGAAATAAAGGAAGAGATCTGATAAGCCTCTCTCCGGCAAGATGCCAGGAGACAGTGGTATCACGGTCCGACATTCGCAGCAAGCTATCCTTCCGGAGCTGCACAATATTCGCTCTCAGTGCTAGCAAGACAAATATATGGCCCTTAGAGTTGCGAGTTGTCAAAATAGCAGTAGTACGGGGAAAAAAAGTAGAATGAACGATTGTAACACTCCATGGCACCTAGGGAGTAATGGTTGTCTACACACATGGCTATATGGTTGAACCATGCTCGTCTTCAGTACTGCAGACGGTCATGGAGTCACGGTTGAAAGGGTTTCTGGGATTTGTTGCTGTCTGGTCTCATCTTTGAGATGTTAATCGTGCAGAATTCAAGTCTAGGAGAGGGGAAAGGTGACAAGGTGGGGGGGGGGGGGGGGGGGGGGGGATTAAAAAACCAAAATGTAGGGACACAAACAATTACAAAGATCTTGACATGTTCTACTCTGGTAACATTCTGAATTGAAATTTTCTTTTATGTGTTTCGGTCGTTCAACTCGCTCTCAGAAAGCTTTCCGTCTGATATCGGATAACAATTTTTTTAGTCTGATACTACTGTAAAAGCAAAGTAACTAAAGAGCCGTTATATTTTTCATAGAAAAGGGCAATTTTTGTTACCTTGGCTTGGCTTGGCTTTTTACCCCACCAGGACATCACACAAGCGATAAACACCCAATGACACAAAGTGCCACCATGCGGATGAGGATCACCGTGGAGAGGTTCCAGAAACCGCGTTCAGACATTTGGCCATAATGATGACCTGCCTATATTGCGGCCCCTGGCAAAAGCCAGAGTGGGGCTTCAAATAACAAAAAATAACGTCCTAAGAAGGACGTAACAAATTATTTTTTGTTACCTTGGATTGGATTGGATTTTTACCCCACCAGGACATCACACAAGCGATAAACACCCGATGACACAAAGTGCCACCATGCGGATGAGGATCACCGTGGAGAGGTCCCAGAAACCGCGTTCAGACATTTGGCCATAATGATGACCTGCCTATATTGCGGCCCCTGGCAAAAGCCAGAGTGGGGCTTCAAATAACAAAAAATAACGTCCTAAGAAGGACGAAAAGTTATCTAATGTTTTGTTACCTTGTCTAATTTACAGTATTTATACGTCTGCTTTATCTATTAGCTTTACAGTAATTTTAAAAAGTAAATTGTCTCCCCTGACAAAATTTTTCAGGGGATACAATTATTTATTTATAGTATATTAGAATTGTTTAAAAACTGCTTCACAAATATACATATTTTCAATATATTTTATGGAGTAAAATAAAAACCACTTCACATGAAAAGAAATTTAAAAAAATAGAACAAAAAAGTTTAAATGTTAAAAAAAATATTAAAAATGTAGTTTCTAAACAATTAATTTTATTCACTATTATCTGTGCTTGTATTTGCCAAGTTGGAATATTTTAACACAGGAAATATATTTGACTTCGAAGGAAACCCCTAATTACGCTTATTTAAGCGCTTTCTTTGAGCGGTCTTATGAAGGCCGTACATAATTTAACAAAAATTGCAGTATCTTATTATCTATAGTCTTCTAGCGTCACTGTGTAGCAGCCGTGTGCATCGTTGTGCACTTAGCCTAACGGCACTGCACGGCAAAATTTAATGTAAAAAATCTACACACAGAATTTTAGGATCTTTCCCGGTGCCAAGGAGTTTGGGCACTGCGCTGAGATTCTTCGGAAGCAGTTTTGAGTTAGAAATAGAACGTAGCACTTATTGGTTACTACCGCTGTGCCATGTGCTCATGATAACAAAAATGAAACGGGAAATAAAAATAACAAAGATCTTGACATATTTTACTCTGGTAACATTCCATATTGAAATTACATTATATGTATTTGGTCGTTCGCCTCGCTCTCAGAAAGCTTTCCGTCTGATATCGGGGAAAATTGTATTAATCTGATGCTACTATTATAGCAAAGTAATATAAAGAGCCGTAATACATTTTATGGAAAAGGGAAATTTTTGCTACTCTGTAGTAGTAGTAGTAGTAGTAGTAGTAGTAGTAGTAGTAGTAGTAGTAGTAGTAGTAGTATTTTTTTTTTTTTTTTTTTTTTTTTTTCACATTTGAAATTTTATTGATCAAATCATGACTTTCTTCATGTCTGATCTTTATGTCCTCAAACCAGCTGGGGGTGGCCTTCCTCCAACAAAAGCAGGAGTGGGCTGGGTGACCTGAAGGTGTGGAAGCTTGTCAAAGTCCAGTGCCTTCAACATCTCTTTGGTGTCTGGATCAATTTCAATAATGTCCAGCTCAAGAGCAGAAACCTCTGGTACATAGTTATCTCTCCTCTCCCTCTCTTCCCCCTGAAGCTTAATGGAGATATTCCTTACTGGTCCCTTTTGAATCCTCTTCATCAAATGTGTAACAAAGCCAGCAATCTTGTTTCTCAGCTTCTTGCTAGGAATGATTGCAATCTCCTCACACACCCGCTTGTTTGTGTGGAAGTCATTGGTCAGCTTGGTGTAATATTTCTCAATAATTACACGAGAAGCCTTTTTCACTGTCTTGGTTCGTACACGTATAGTAGTACATTTTACACCACTAGGACATCACACAAGCGATGAACACCCGATGACATAATGTGTAACCATATGGAAACCACATTCAGCCATTAGGCCATATTTATGGCCGGGCTATATTGCAGCCCCTGGAAAGAGCCAGGGTGGGTCTTCAAAAATCACCCAAAAAAAATGTCATTCCTCAAAGGGATGAAGAATATTGTACTCTGTATAATGTTTATACGTCTGCTTTATTTATAGATATACAGTAATTATAAAAATAAAATAATCTCCCCTGACAAATTTTTCAGGGGAAACAATTATTTATTTATAGTATACTAGAATTGCTTTTAAGCTATTTCCCAAACAGAAAATATTTTACAAATATTTTTATGCATTAATATAAAAGTTAGCATTATCTGACCAAAAAAATTTAAAAAGGTTAAATATGACAGATTTTAAAAACATATTCAAAAATTTATTCCTAAAAAAAATAATTTTATTTACTAATATCCGTGCATGTAGTTGCCGAGTTGGGTCATTTTTTAGATATATTTTGGTCGACTTTGAAGGAAACTCCTAATTACGCTTAATAAAAGCGCATTCTTTGAGCGGTTTATTGAAAGCCGTATATAATAATTGTAAATTGTTGTATCTTAGGTTGTGTGGAGTATATTAAAGGGTTGAATTTTCCTTGTTTACTGTATAGTTGTCAGATAAAAATAAAACATTCATTTTGTGCCAAACCATTGCCCAAAATATGCCAGAAAATGCAAAATAAAGTTAATATTGTACCCACTTCTTCACATCAAAAGCTCTAGATTGAATTCTTCACTGTCATCCTTACTAGAACCAAATCTGGTAGTCTTAGTTTCAGCTTCATAGCAAACGGGTCACCCCATCTTTGCTCCGCTCCTGTGCCAAAAAAAAAAAAAAAAACAGAATGTTTTTCACAGTATTAGAATTGCAGTTCATTATTGATGGTAGCAGAAGTCGCCAACAGATCAGCAGTTGCCCACGCGATACATTTTAATCACATACGGGCACCACAACACTGCATGACAGGCATCGTGCCATTTTCTGGAACCAAATGGAAGATACAGCGTAAACCTTTTGAGATGTAAAATCTTTAAGCAATTTCTCAGATGGGATGAAGTCTTTGCAATTCATCAATAATGATGGCATTTTTCTTGTTCCAAAAATCATCAATAAGATCATCCTTAAGTGCAGGAGATATAGTATTTTTTTAATTAAGCATGAACATTTAGTTATATGCAACTGTATGTGCTCCAATATACTCCCCGACCATGAGCTCTCATGATTTCACTTAAGGGAGTTTAAGGACAGCGAGCTTGGCATTTGCGTTCTTATGATTTTTCATGATTTGATATGCTACTAATTCTTGGTGCAACAGTGCACTGACACAGTTTGCGATATGCTGCCTCTGATCCGTCTGAAGAGCTTTTGAGCAGTGGGTATGTTTTCTTCCAGTTACTAAAATACTTGCGATTGCTGTCATAAGATGCTTTCTTTTTTTTTTTTATGACGTAGCCATTGGTAAAAAAAAAGTAATAAAATTTATCACAGATAGAACAAGTTCTATATCGCCTCTATTTTCTGTCCTCAAGTAGTTTTCGAACAGTCTGAATCACATGAAAACAGTGGTGGGTTTTGGTTTTATATCCCGCATTTATTCTTGTAGATTAACATAAATTACAGAGGGCCTTGGTTTATCGAAGTCAGGATCCGTTTAGGAAGACAACAAATACAATAGTCCGTACTGGACATCATAACAAAGTCAAACTGAAATAAAAATGTTAATTGTTAGTCTACATTGCTTTTAGTAAATCTGCGTGTTTCTAACGGAGGAACCATGAAGAAAATATGAGCATATCTTGATAAGAAAGGCCAGAAAAACCCCAAATATGCCAAAATATGCCAGTTCATTATCTTATGCCAGTTCAATTTCAAATATGCCAAATTTGTGGAATCTGGCATAAAAAATGCCATTATGGCAACCCTGCTGTGAAGTAAGATCGGAAGCTCGTTTGTATTCTTCTTCTTCTTCGCGTTCACCAGATGTAAACTCTGGCGGAAGGTTCTGGTTGCTCGTCCACTACTGAACTGCAGTCCTGCTCCAGAACCTGAGTGTTGAGTGTGCATAAGTTTTACAGATCTTATTTTCTTCAATACAGACTGTTGGTTCCTTGCCTCTCCGGCAGATGCACTCCGACTCAAAGGAAGCTCCAGAATTAGTCGACTCTTACGACTTGCTTTTGGGGAGGCAGTGGGTCTATTATTGTTTTCCTCACAATGGGTTGCGCATGAAGACTATCGGTGCTGCCCAAGCAAAATTTGTAGTCGAAAATCTAACCAAAGAATTCTAGGATCTTCGCCGGTGCTACGGAGTTTGTGCACTGCACTGAGAATCTTCGGACGCAGGCTTGAGTTAAAAGTAAGTTTTTAAAGAGGAGGAAAATTATAGGGAAAAGAAAAAGTGGGTATGAAAAAACATACGAAAGTTTATGTTAACTTTACAAAATCGATCACAATAAACAAACAAAGGACGTTGCGGCGATTAGCCTTTATCAGCACATAAAGAACAACAAGTACACATACACAAATATGCTCTAACTATGAAGTGACTACATAGGACTCTAATGTACAAAATAAATGTTTCTCATCTGTTTCCCTGGCGAAAAACTTCTGGCGGAAAGACCCAGACACCTTTTTGAACAATAAAACATTGTAATGCCTTCTGTTAGGGAAACAGGGCAAAGTAATGATAGGCTGATTAAATTTGTTCGAAGAGAATGTGTGAGATACACCAAAGATGACGTTTTTTTTTTTTTTACGACGATGATGCTGCTTATCGGGGATGACATTCATAACAATGATAAATGAATAAAAGAATAAATTATAACTTTAAAATGCGATACTTAAAATGTATGTTTAGCCGGGGCTGCCAATGCTAGGTTTTCCCCAAGATCTGGGTCTTTTAGTTGCCGTCTGGGTTTCTAGGTTTTTGAAAATTGTAGAAAGTATTGCTTTCTGAGTCTTTTAAATGAAAAAAAAAATTCTGGAAAATATTGGATATTGAGTCTTATTGATAGAAAAAAAAAATTAAACTACAATTTAGAAACATTGAAACAAATGTATGTACATATATTTATAATAGTTTTACTAAAGAATACTATTTTATAATGTTTTGCAGAATGCTCTGTCAGAAAGAGGTTGCTAAAATGTTACATCGAAGATGTTCTGCTGTATGGCAAAAAATCTTGGAATGTCAGTGAACAAATTAAGAAGAATTTGGAAGCAACAGAGATGTGGTTTCTGAGACGAATGTTACGAATACATTGAACGAGTAATTAACAACGATTGCTTGAAAAAAAGCTAAAGTAGATCTCTGTATACAACAATAAGAAAGAGATAAACACTATTCTCTAGCCACATAATGAGAAGAGAGACATTGGAGAACATCGTGACAACTGGAAAGATCATGGAGGGATATCATCAAGAGAGCTGTTCCAGCCAACCAGGAATCGTGATATGTGGAGACTATAAGCGCCTACGTCAGTTGGCAGGGCACATGATGATGAATGTTCTACAAACACCGAAAGTCTGTGAAATTGATGTAACAGAATACAAAGGGTAACTCAAAAGCAGGGCATTCCAGGGCTAATTAGCGAACTTCTAAAGTCTAAAGGACCACATTTACGATCTCTGCGTACAGGCCCTAACTAAAGTAACAGATACTAGGCGCGGAGACACAAAAATTAGAGCAAGCCGGGAACTTTTGATTGTAAATTTTACAGAGGATGGAAGCGACTGACATTTAATCATTGAGAACCTTGTTGGAGACGTTGCCATGGGTTACTGACATTGTAGCGGAGTTGGATGAAAAATGGCAAATAATCGGAAACCGACTACACGCCACGGCACAACAGGGACCTTCAGTTATCACTAGAGTTTTGCAGTGTTGGGGTATGTTAAATTGTGCTGCCAAAATGTACACTGATTATAATCTTGTTGAATTCAAAATGAGAAAACAAAATACTCCGCCAAAGAATCGAATAAAGCATGTTTAGTGTTAGTTAGTTAGTTAGTTAGTTAGTTAGTTAGTTGGGTTATCCTCATTGCACTCCGGACATGTCCATAGGTGCTCAGATCCTCCCCTCAGTATGAGGAACGTCCGATGGCGAATAGTACCAGTTCTTGTTGATTGACAAGTCCTGGCGTAGCTGGTGTGCGTCTCGCTGTGCCGATCTTAATTCCCAAGTCTGCCATTCTGGCGAGTGTTGGATTCACTGCCACCAAAGTCCTCTATTCTTCCCATTTCTCTGAGGGCATTGATAATATCAGCATGATCCATAGGCTGACCGTCGGTAGTGATAGCGGATCCAGTCAACCTGTCAGCTCTTTCATTTCCATCGACGCCTGCGTGTCCCGGAACAAAAATAAAGGTGACTCCACGAACAGTGGACTTCTGTAATGATTCAAGCCATTGTCTTCGCACTGAACCTGCCTGAACCCTCCGGATCATACTCATTGAATCACTGAGTATACACACGCGGGTGTATTTTTGTGTTTCAAGCCAGGCAAGCGCTTGTGTCACTGCCATCACCTCCATCGTCATGCTGCTGGTTGTCATGTTTAGTGTTTCAAAGCGTAATGGGTTACTGAATACTGAAGCGAATTCAAAGATTGACTAGAACAGGACAGCAGCGATAAGCACTCCAGTTACTGTAAGTGTTGTAAAGTGACACTCAGAAATGCAAATAAATCTATGCTATTAAAACATATAGATTATGTTAAACAGGTAAGAAAATTTGAGGCTGTAAAGTTTAAAAACATTACGATTCTGTTTTTAAAGAAACCTCTACAGAAGCGAACAGATAGCAAAGAGTAAGGTACTGTTTGCATGGAAAAGCATAAAGTGACGGTGACAATTGAAAATGGTTAAGAAAAAGAGCTGCTAGAACAACAATAGAATAAAGGCCAGTTAATGTTAAGTTTCATACTATAAAATACTATGTTACA